AGGCCCAGATCTTAATAGCATCTGGGGAGCATTATTACTCTGTCCTAAATCCCTATAGTACCAAAATGTATTTATTGTGTTGTGAACACATGAGGGTAAGTGCATGTAATCCTATTCTGATTTTTTTTGTTGTTGTTTGTAAATCTTATGTTTCACTGATATCTTTAGAAGAGGAACCACATCCGATACTTAAGAAATTGTCCTTCCTGTTTCACACTCATTCTTATGATTATTACACTATCTTTTCACAGTGCATGCTTGTTCTATTACTGCTATCAATTTTTAATTATGGGAAACTTCATATATATATGAAAACAAAGACTATATGCACTCCCATGTACCTAACTCAACTCTCTTAACAATGGCTTATCTTGTTGTTAAGTGCTGTCAAGTTGGTTCCGGATCCTGGGCACCCTGTTTAGGGTTTTTGAGGAGCAGATGATGGGTTTGAAATGCCAACTTTGTGCTTTGCAGTCTAGTCAGCTTATAGCCAGTTCTATTTTATCTATTTCCCACCTGAATCAGATCTTTTAAACATTATTTCTGAATGCTTTTTGAATGTGTAAATATGAAAAATTGTGTTGTTTAATCTCACAGTCTGTTTCAGATGGCATGTGTTTATACTGTTAAATTTAGTATTATGACTCACTTTAAAACATTCATTTTTATTTTAATTTAAAAAACCTGTTACCAATTGTTTTTATAATTGTGTTATAGGTGTTATTTTTAACATTGTGATTCTCTATAACAATTCCATTTTGGTTTTCATTTTTTAAAAATCTGGTGATTGCCATTTAATGATTTTGCTTAATATTCATTAATTCAGCTAATTTTTATTGAGTGCTTACTATGTGCTAGGCATTGTGCTGTACACTGGAGAGCCAACATTAGAATTATATAACCTCATGCTGCTTGAATTCCATTTTTCTTATTATTTTTAGAAGCAAGGATAATACTAGACAGTTCCAAATAGTTCATGGAAAAATTTCATTATCTTTTAGTTCCATTTCTCCGTGAACTTTTTGAAGCCCCTTTTATGTAGTACATCAGTCTTGGCTATTTGGGACTGAGATTGCAATCTTGTTTATTTAAAGACAGATAACATTTCCAAGAAAATTTTGGAATCGGTATAGCTATCTTATATTGTAAGATTAAGGTCTGTTTATGAAAACATGTAATAGCATTTGGCTGTACTTAACAACACCAGAATCACTTTAAGAAGTCATTTAAATTTTATACCAATAAAAATGGCAATAGTACCAGGATAAAGGACCCAAAACAAACCAGACCCACTGCCATCAAGTCCATTCTGAATTATAGTGACCTTGTGTAAGACTCCTGAGACTTTAGAAGCCTCATCTTTTTCTTAAACAGCTTGTGGATTTTGGTTAGCAGCCCAACACCTAACCCTTGGTACCGTCAGTGCACCTTGAATAAAGAACAATTGTTTTATATTTGTTTTTATTAATTATGCATTATATTATTTTAACCTATGTTGTCTCCTACCAGTACAAAGTGTGATAACTTTGCATTGGCATCAGTGAATTGCTGCTTTAGAAGATAAATGATTTTTTAATTGATTGGTGCCTGAATATTTTGCAAGTTAATAACTTTAATATAGAAACATTAATATTAAATGGCTATACTTTGACAAAGGAGTCCTGGTGTGGCGCTGTGGGTTAATGCTCTGGACTGCAAAGTTGGTTTGAATCACAAGGTTGCTAGTTAATGCTCACCATCAGCTCCTCAGTAACGCCATGTAGGGTCGCTATGAATCGGAACTTACTGGAAGGCACTTAACAGCAACAGTAGCAGCACAATGCTTTGAAAACACACTTTTTGACATTTTGTTGTTTTTGTTGAGTTAAAATGTCACATTCTGTGAAAAAAAGACACAATGAGTTGTAATTGAATATTTATAGGAAAATAGGAATCCTGGTGTGGTACTATAGAATGAGTAATGGGCTGCTGACCACAAGGTCAGCAGTTCAAAGCCATCAGCTGTTCCTCAGAAACCCTATATGGGGTTACTATGAGTTAGAACCGACTTGATGCCACTTATCAACAATAAGTAGGAAGATAGTAATTTCTTACCTATTAAAATAAACTGTTTCTCCTAAAGTACTATCAGATTTTATTAATATTTGAAGTCATCAGTTCTTGATTTTCACAGAACTATTTTTTCATATAAAATGTTGAGAGCATATTTAACATATATATATAAAATGGCTTCTTTGCTTTACTTGGAAAAGTAGGTAATATATAACATCTGGCGATTCTAGCAAATGTTTCAAAGATTGAAGGCAGTTTTTAATCTTTGAATTAATTCACATAAATAATCTTTATCTTTCAAATGCACTTTTCCTATTACCATCTAATGGGAATTTTGGTGGCGTAGTGGATTATGTGTTGGGCTGTTAACCTCTGGATTGGCGGTTTGAATCCACCAGCCACTGTGAGAGAAAGATAGGCTTTCTGTTCCCGTAGAGATTTATAACCTTGGAAATCTTATTACAGGGGTTACGTTAAGTTGTAACCAATTCGATGGTACACAATAACAATAATAGTTGTTGACTATTTACAATCTCAAAAGCACTATATTCTTAAATTTGAAATTTCTCTGTTTAATTTATTTGATAACATTCCTCTGTGCAGAACAATTATGTTGATATCTAGAAAAGTGAGCTAGTTTCACACAGTGTGCTTGTATATCATCTAGAGTTTTTCCTGTCGTATTTCACCTGGATTTGTTTTACATTAACTGTTATGTTACTCATTTTAATATATATGCATATTCATCCAAATATTTAATTAACTGTTTTTTGGGTACTTTTTATTTATTTATTTATTAAATGTTTTTATTTTGGATTGAGTGAAAGTTTACAGGGCACATCATCAACTTCACATTCAACCATTCATATAGCTTGTTTCATTACATTGATTATTATCCCCTCCGTATATCATCAGTTAACAGTGTTTCTCTCTATCCTCTTT